TAAATAGATTTATATTTTTTATGTGGTCACTTTACTTTCATTCTTTAAATTTATTTCCATTGTTTTTATACTTAAATAGTTGTCCAAAATTGAATTGCTATTTTATTTTTGTTTTTCATGGTAAAATTTAATTTTTAAAAATTTTACTTTTTAATTTGTAATTCCCGTTGGCATTTGGTGTGAGGTGAGGATCTAGATACATTTTATTTTCCAAATAACTAGTCGGTTGCCTCAGAATGCCCACTGAATAAGCCCACTCATTTAAAATGCAGTTTTTAGAGGCTTCTAAGTATGAACTGGATTACCTCTTGACAGAAATGAATAGAGGCTATTTGAGAATTAGAAGAGGTTGTTTTTCATGACACTTGTTTTTTTCTAATGAGAGAGGGTCTGGCTCTCTCATTAGGCTGGCACAATCACAGCTCACTGTAACCTTGAATCCTGGGCTCAAGCAAGTAGCTGGGACTAGAGGTGGGCACCACCATGCCCAGCTAATTTTTTTTTTTATTCCTAGAGATGGGTGACTTGCTACGTTGCCCATGTTGCCCAGGCTAGTCTTGAATTCCTCGGTTCAAGTGATCCTCCTACCTCAGCCTCCCAAAGGGCTGGGATTACAGGTGTGAGCCACTGTGCCTGGCCTGTTTTTCATGACTTTTTAGCGTCCCTTCCATCCTCACATACTGTGGATCATTTTTGTTATCTTCTGGCTGTAGATGTTAAATGATCAGTGTTGTTAATTTTAAAGTCAGTGAAAATTAAGTTCGTAATGATTACAAGTAAATATGAGGTTATTAACCTTTGTATAGCTAAGTACAATAATCAAGTTCAAATTGTGATTCAGTAAATTCCAAGAAGTTCAGAAGGCATTTTCCTGAATGTTTAATTTATTGTGCTTTTTAACATGCTGGCTAACTCCCTTTGGGGAGGGGAAGAAAGGTGATACATATCATTTTGCTGTGGGAAGCACAAGGTACTAACCTGAACATTTTGACGATTTGTGTTTTTTAAATCTTTTAAATCTTTTTTAAATCTTTAAACACTATTTGTATTTAAAGTCATTTGGTTTAGTTCTGTGTTTCTAAATATTCAGGCTACAGCTGGAGTGGTGATCTTTTCCACAGATTATTCTCCTTAGGCTGAATTGATGTATTTTCAAAGATGCATTTCCAAAGATGTGGCTGGCCAAGGTGCTGATTTCTGTAGGCAGTTACTATCAAAGAGATTTACTTATTTATTTACTTACTTAAATTCTTTTTCTTGAGTGGTTTGGAATTCAAGAAAAGAAAGAACTAGATATGTTAATTCTGTCTCCTTCTCCTCCTCCTCCTCCTCTTCTTCTTCTTCTTTTTTTTTTTATGGCAGGGTCTTGCTCTGTTGCCCAGGCTGCAGTGGAGTTCCATGACTCCCTTGTAGCTCACTGCAGCCTGGCACTCTTGGGCTCAAGAGATCCTCCTGCCTCAGCCTCCTGAGTAGCTGGGATTACAGGCATGCACCACTATGACCGGCTCATTTCTTCTTTTAAAACAATTTTATTTCTTTCAGAATTTGATATTTAAGAATTTTAAACTTAGTTTAAAAACAATGATGCCTTTTTTTTGGCATTAAAGGTTTTCAAATGGCCTGTGCTATTAACACGTTATTTGTATCTTACTACCTTCTTGAAAATAATAATGGACTTTAAAAGGTGTAGTGTTCTATTTCTTGGTATTGTGGGAGTGAGAGGTTAATCAGTGAATCTTTATTTATTTTTTGGATAAGTGTATATTTTTACTTGGGGCTTTGTAAACAGACTGGATATTATTTTAAGGAAGTGATAGGTTCTTACTCAACTTTTAATTTTTTAAAAATACTTCCCAATGTTTTTGCAGACCTCAGTGAATTTGTAAGTACAGTATTCTTAAATTTCACATAACCTTACTATTCACTCTTCAGAAGAAAATACTCTTGATCCATAATTGTGACTGCATATCCTTTTAGTACATTTATGGGCTTGTTAGTGAGATAAACGTCAATGGGGTTTTTAAGAGATTTCATTTTAATAAATAAAAGGTTTCATGTTGTGAAAGATAAAGATTTGGAGGATATCTAAATTACTATTGGATTAAACCCTGGTGAGAAACTGATAGTGTCTCCTGACCTATTTTTTAAAATATTGAGATATGATTCACGTAATAAAATTCACTTTCAGTGGTATTTTTTTGTATTCACAAGGTTGTGCAAACATCACCACTGTCTAATTCCAGAATATTTTAATTAGTCCAAAATGAAACTCCATATGCCATAGCAGTCACTACCCATTTCCCTCCTCCCAGACCCTAGCAGCCATTAATCTCTATGCTTTTGCCTATTCTGGACATCTCATATAGATGGAATCACACAATATGTGGCCTTCTTTTTGTTTCTTCTTACACTCAGCAGAATGTTTTCAAGGTTTGTCTATGTTGTAACATGTATTGGTGCTTCATTCCTTTTTATGGCTTCATTTCTTTTACTTTATTCTTTGTATGGATATACCACATTTTATTTTTCCATTCATTACTTGATGGACATTTGGGTTGTTTCTACTTTTTGGTTATTATAGATAATGCTGCTAAGAAAATTCATGTACAAGTTTTTGTGTGAACATAGGTTTTCAGTTCTCTTGGATATATACCTGGGAGTGGAATTCCTGAGTTATATGGTGAGTCTATGTTTAACTTTTTGAATAACTGACAAACTGTTTTCCAAAGAGACCACACCATTTTACATTCTCACCAGCAATATATGAGGGTTACAGTTTCTCCATATCCCCACTAACACTTGTTATTGGCCGGACGCAGTGGCTCATGCCTGTAATTGTAGCACTCTGGGAGACCAAGGTGGGAGGATCACTTGAGATCAGGAGTTCGAGAACACTTGTCATTGCCCTCTTTTTGATTATAGCCATCCTAGTGGGTATGACCTGGTATTTCATTATGGTTTTGTTTCATGGTTTTCTAATGATTAATAAGTACATTAAAATTCATGTACTTATTGGCCATTTGTGTATCTTTGGAGAAATGTCTATTTAAATGCTTTGCCCATTTAAAAAATTGGTTATTTGTTGTTCTATTGTTGAGTTCTTTATGTATTCTAGATACTAGAACATTATCCGATGTATGATTTGCAAATAATTTTCTCCGATTTTGTGGGTTGTCTATACTTTTTTTTCTTCTTTTTTTTTTGAGACTCAGAGAGTATAGTGGCATCATCATAGCTCACTGCAGCCTCAAACTCCTAGGTTCAAGTGATCCTCCTGCCTCAGTCTCCCAAGTAGCTGGGACTACAGGGTGAGCCACCACACCTTGGTTAATTTCTTTATTTTTTTGTAGAGACAGGGTCTTGTTATGTTGCTCAGGCTGGTCTCAAATTCCTGTCTTTAAGGTATCCTCTTACCTTGGCCTCCCAAAGTTCTGGGATTATAGGCATGAACTACCATGCCCGGCCATCTTCACTTTCTTGATAGTGTCCTTTGAAGCACAAAATTTTTAATTTTTATGAAGTCCAATTTACCTATTTTTTTCCTTGGTTGTTTATGCTTAGTGTCATATTAATAAGAAACCATTGCTTAATCCAAGGTCATGAAAATTTACACCTGTGTTTTCTTCTAACTTTTTATAGTTTTTGATCTTACATTTAGATTTAATACAGAATTTAACTTCAAAATTAATCTGTAGTTTACCCTAAAACCATCTGGATTGGTGGGCATCAGTGCCTTTTATTGTGTGTAACTTTGGCTTTCTAGGTTTTGGTTGAGGTTTTTTGTTTTTTAGTTTATTTACATCTACTCACCTTTATACTAAGAACCAAAGCGATAACTAAATTTTCGCTTAGAGAAGCACTTGATAAGTTGGAAGGCACAACCCAAAATAAGTAGTGACAACCCAAAATAAGTGACTGAGGCAAAGATCTTAATCAGTGGAGATTTATTGAGGCAAAGTTTGAGGATACACCCAGGAAAAGCTTGAACCACAGAAACATGTGACCTGTGCTCTCCAAGGAGGGATTTGGGAACTCAGTATTTAAGGGGAGAGGGCAAACAGAAAGAAAAAGGAAGAGGGGGTAGGCATCGAGGCAAATGGTTACATTCCTATGACACTTTAGTTTAGTGCTGGGGAAATACACATTTTACACAATAAGGTCATGTTTGAAGAGAAAAGGGGAATAAAGTAGGAATCAGTTCTGTAGATGTCCCTGGGTAGAGAAGAATGATGAATCTTGTCTCTGTTCTGCACCTGGGAAGATAAATTTATAATCAACATTATTAGTGTGGAATTAAACAGATTTTAGTTTAGGAGCTAGACTTAGCCTGTAGACCTAAAGTTACAATTTGCATGTCCTTGCTTATGGGAGGCCAGCAAAGAATTGCCTTATGAATGATCTGAGGGGATAGTCCTTATAGATGCCTGAGACCTTTTACCTTTCGTGGGAATCTGACTGATGCATAATGTTAGTCAAAGCTATTTGTGTATTAGTCTCTGTTGAGTTGCTATAAGGGAAATAGCTGAGGCTGAGTCATTTATAAAGAAAAGAGGTTTTTTGGCTCACAGTTCTGCAGACTGTACAAGAAGAAGTAGGGCACCAGCATCTGCTTCTAATAAGGGCTTCAGGGAGCTTCCACTCATGGCAGAAGGTGAAGAGTAGCAAGTTTGTCACATGGTGAAAGCAGGAGCAAGAGAGGGAGGAGGTGGTGCCAGGCTCTTTTAAACAACCAGCTCTGGCCGGGCATGGTGGCTCACGCCTGTAATCCTAGCACTCTGGGAGGCCGAGGCGGGCGGATCGTTTGAGCTCAGGAGTTCAAGACTAGCCTGAGCAAGAGCGAGACCCTATCTCTACTAAAAAAATTAGAAAGAAATTAGCTGGACAACTAAAAATACATATATAAAAAAATTAGCCGGGCATGGTGGCGTATGCCTGTAGTCCCAGCTGCTCGGGAGGCTGAGGCAGGAGGATCGCTTGAGCCCAGGAGTTTGAGGTTGCTATGAGCTAGGCTGACGCCACAGCACTCTAACCCAGGCAACATAGTGAGACTCTGTCTCAAAAAAAAAAAAAAAAAGAATAAACAACCAGCTCTCACGGAAACTAATAAAGGGAATAAAATGAGAACCCACTCATTATGGGGAGGGTACCAAGCCATTCATGTGGGATCTGCCCCCATGACCCAAACACCTCCCACCAGGCCCCACCTACAACACGGGATCAAATTTCAACATGAGATTTGGAGGGGCCAAACATCTAAACCATATGAGTTTTGAAGGGAGTGTTGCATGACTCACCCTCTAGGCTTGACCTTCTCTTTTGCATAAGGTGTGTGTGTGTGTGTGTGTGTGTGTGTGTAGGGAGGTGTGGTCCTGAGATTTTTATTTTCCTTTATAATAGAACTCAAGGAAGAGGTTATTTAAATGTTTTGTGGTAAAGAAGGTAGCTTGGGCAAACTTGGATAGGAAGATAGAGGAGATTGGTCACGTTTAAACCTTGAATTAGCTGAGAACCTGAGGGGAGAATCTGTTTTGGTAAATCAGGCACTGCATATCATCATTGGCTGCTCTTAAAACTTGAAATGAAACAAGACAGCTGAAAGAAAGCAGCTTTGTAATCTTTTAGTGTCCTCCTAAAGTACTATATATAAAAAATACTGCTAATTCTGTTCATCCTACTCTGGAAAGAGACAGAGAAAATGAACAGATGGGGTACTTTAGCTTACTTTATTCCTTTATAAGAAAGGCAGGATAAGTAGTGGTTAAGACCACAGTCAGACCTGGGTGTGAATCTCAGGCTATTTACTAGCTGTATGATTTGGGGCAAATTACTTAATCTTTTTTAAATATCAGTTCCTCATTTATAAAATACAGATTATGAGAGTGCCTACCTCTTAGTATTGTTGGGAGAGTTAAATGAGACAGTATACTGTCTTAATAAACACTTAATAGTAGCTTTTATTATTACTTATTCTGAGTGAATGACTGTGTAATATTTAAATAATTAAATTTGACAGAAGTAAGACTACCTTGTTTATTCCCTCACCTCAGTTTTTTTCTTGTTTCTCAGTCAGGCTGACATTTTAACCCCAAATTTAAGAAAGTGGTCAGTTTAATTCCTTTCATGAAGTGAGTTATAGTTAACTAGTTTGTATTGTTATGTTATGCTTAATTCTTGTTTCCTTTCTTTGCATAAAGCTGGAATTGATGTAAATGTGGTCATGCTTCAGGAGTCCCAAGTTTATGACAGAAGTACCAGCCAACAATTCTGTTATACAAATGTGCTTATCCCAAAATGGCATGATATATGGACACGGATACAGGTAATAACTTGGATGCCCCTTGCAGGGGCTCTTGTGAATATCTGTCTGTGATTAGTGAATATTTTGATACTTCTTTCCCTGTCACACAAAACTTTTTAGAAAAGTATTATAAACAATCTTTTTAGGGTTAAGATTATCCTGAATTGTGTTTTCATCAATAAGCAGTTATGCCTACTTTGTATTTCTTTCTCTCTGCTTCCTTAAGTAGCTTACAGTACTCTAACCCCAACGTAAACTTCCTTCCTTCCTCCTTTTCTAAAGGAAAATGCTTCCTTCTCTGCCCATCCTTCCATTTCCAACATGCACATGAGTGCCACACACACCTCTTTTTAAAGGCCTTATACCTTCTTTGGGCTGGAAACTGTTGTGTGCCTATCAGGATGTAAACTCTTTTTGCCTTGCTGCTCCCTATTCTGTTTTGATTCTACATGAGATGTTTCATAAACCACCCCCTCCCCCCAAGCTGAAGTTTCCCCTTGATACAATGACTTTGATCTCATTTTTTTTATAACATTGTTTTTTGTTTTGTTTCTTTCTTCTTGTTTTTCTTTCTTCTAAGTATGCAAACATAAGACTGTTAAGTCACCTGGCAAACAAGAATGGCTGTAATAGTGATTGAACAAAATGAGTCCTTTTGGAAATGTTGCTGCTGCTTTAAGCATACTTACTGATAAGGGCATTTATTGTTTACATCAAAAACATAAGGGTGGGATTGTGGTTGGTTTTTTAAAAATTCTCTTTTTTTATTGTCTGATATAAAAATCTTACTCCATCTGGGGCTCATTTTAACTAACATTTACCCATAATCAGTGACTCGTGACAATGGGTTGAACTTCTCAGCCTGTCATGGTAAACATTTTCAATTTTCTGGGGCTGTTTGTGCCTAGTAATTTTCTTAATGTTCTAGGCTCTTGCTTTGTATGATCTCTCATAAATAGCTGTATCGATGACTCTTGCAGCTTGGAAGTCTTTTCTTCGCCCCTATGTTCTGGCCTAATAGTAGTTTCAGATCATGTTCAAAAGAAGACACACTAACAGCTGTCTCTCTGTACCATGTGCAGTGTTATTTGCCCAATTGTGTTTTAGCTGTTCCATCTCTGTATTTCTCATAAGCCTTATGGAAAAGTGGCACCATTACTGATTTAGTTATTTACTGTGAGGAGTTTTTTTTAAAGTATATTTGTGAAAAATTTAAGTTCTTATTTCCTTCTTTCTCATCCTGATTTTACTTGTGTTACAGATCCGGGTAAATAGTTCCAAATTGGTTCGAGTCACTCAGGTGGAGAATGAGGAGAAACTGAAGGAGCTAGAGCAGTTTAGTATCTGGAACTTTTTTTCCTCCTTTTTAAAAGAGAAATTGAATGACACCTATGTTAACGTGGGTCTGTACAGCACAAAAACCTGCCTCAAAGTTGAGATTATAGAGAAGGACACCAAGTACAGTGTCATTGTGATCCGGAGTAAGTCTCATCTCTGTTTTTCTGATGGATTCTATAGTGAGGAGGGACTGAGTTTTGGAGGGTATAACTAGGGAGACACAGAAGTCAGCCCAAGACAGTTCCATCTGGGTTCTGATTATAACCCTGTGTATAATACTACTACAGACAGTTCATGGAGACTCTACCCCACATCAGATTCTTTAGGCCTAAAATCAAGACTCACCTCAGAAAATTCTGAATACCTCCTTACCTAGAATTGTGAAGACGTGCATTCCTAATATAGTGTACTGCCAATGGCCCTGAGCTGGTATGCCAAGCACTCTCAGAACAAATCAGATAGATGTGTTCCTGCCTTTTGGACACTTCCAGAGAAAAGTAGCTGTCCCAATGTGTACAGGCCTACATTTGAAGACATAAATGGTTAAAAAATAAAAATTGAAGAAAGATAAAATTGAATATTAATACTTCACAAGTATTAATAAAAAGGATATTTGTGGAACTATAAATAAAGATGAAGACCACTGCAATTGAAGGCTTACTCAGTGGAACTAGGAGAAGATTTCCCTTTTCCGAAGGTGTCTGAGAAAGTTTCAGAGGAGATGGATCCTGTTTAATGCTCTCTGACTTGGTTTCTCCTTGATTACCACCCAGGGTCCTGGGACGTTGTGAGTAGTAGAAATGTTTTTAGGTTTTGCTGTGAAATAGGGCCTTCCAATTGTCCTAGCGTTCCATAGTTCTTTGGTTGTATAGGATTGGCCTGTTTTTTTGTGTTCCTTATACATTTTCTGATCCCTCCTACTCCTCTTCTGTTTGTGGGCCTCCCCTAGACTTAGAGCTCATGAATATGAAAGCTGTGGGTGTATCTGGTATGCTACTAAGGGGCCTCTGCTTGGGCCCCCTGATCCTGGGTGAGATGTGTTTGTGTGTAGGCTTTTCCAGCATGGTGCTGTGTAGTGAAGGAAAGTAGGTGGTATTGTTGGGCAAGAAAGGCAGCCAGTGAGAGAACACAAGGCCCTGACCCAAAATCCTAGGCAAATCTGCTGAATTCCATAATTGTGAGTGACTTGGGTTTGAAAGCCAGAGTGGTAGAGACCCCTTGTGGACAGTTGCATAAAGTACTGATGGCATTGTGTCCGGCTTTGTCCAACGTGAAGCTTAATTCCTTTTAGCCTTAGCATGGATAGCCAAAATAAAAACAAGGTCTTCAGACATGTACACAGATGTAATTATACTTTGGAAGAGTGCCCAGTCTTTGTTTGGAGTTTACAATGCTGTTTAGGTGGACTGTTTGCATTTATTTTACTGTAGCTGACCAATGATGCCAACATTGCCTTATATTCTATTTTGCCTTAAACTATTTTGTTCCCCTGTTAAGCAAAAATCTTCGTTTATTTCAGGATTTGACCCCAAACTCTTCCTTGTTTTTCTCCTTGGACTTATGCTGTTTTTTTGTGGAGACTTGCTGAGCAGGTAGGTTCTAAGGCTAGTGTGCAGAATGACAAGGCTCATACCCACCCTGCCTGACTTTTATCATAAAAACTATAAGTACTGCCATTCCCTTTTCTAGGATTTTTATGTCTTGGCCATTGCCTACTTGGATATTTAAAAAAATACTTTAATGTGTATTCTGGTTTTTTGGTTTTTTCTTATTTGAATAATATTGGCAATAATGAAATTCCCCCAGTAGGTGCACCCATCAGTAGTTTGATAGGAGTTAACCAGTATTATGAAGTTGAACATTACCACCCTTTCTACCGTTAAAATGATATGTTAAGGTCTTGTTTTTACAGGACGGTGTGTTGATGAGTTTCATTCTGTTCAGTTGATGAGACAAATATCAACTGCTTATTCATATCCTTCCTTTAGGAGCCTGCTAGCTAAGATAGGTGAGACTGACATGTACAAATATAAAGGAAACATGTAGATAAATAAACAAACATTGAGTGAAGGTAGAATCAACATTAAGTTGGTACACAAGTAAAAAAAGTATTTGTGGAGTAGTGAATGAAAAATTAACAATTGGAGTTTGAAGTTGGGCTGTAGGGTTGGTGAAAGTTGTTCCTTATTTTGGAGATGCTGAGAGAAACACAGCGAGGAAGGAGTAACTAATAGAGAGACCCTGGAACAGGAGTAGGAGCTCTCTGTTCTAGGCCCCATGAAGGATTGATCTCTCGTTCTAGGTTATCAGTTCAGTTCCAGTTCCCAGGCTCCAGCTGGGCAATGTTCTTGCCTCTTCCTTCTCCCCAGAGAAATTGTGCAGTTCCTCAGAAGAAATAAAAATTGGTTTGGGAGAGTTTATGGGGTTGGGAGTGGGAAATTATGCAGAGGTTTATTATGGGGATATATTTGAGGGGACCTCATTGATACTAATCTTCATAATCTGATAGTAACTACATAGTATCGGTCTCTACAGTTGTCGGACTCCAAGTTTTGGACAAATATAGGCATACCTCCTTTTATTGTACTTCACATTTTTGCGCTTCACAGATACTGCATTTTTTACAAATTGAAGGTTTGTGGTAAACCTGTGTCAAGCAAGTCTGTTGGCACCATTTTTCCAGTAGTGTGTGCTCACTTTGGGTCTCTCTGTCATGTTTTGGTAATTCTTGCAATATTTCAAACTTTTCATTTGATTGTATTTGTTATGGTAATCTGTGATCAGTGATCTTTGAAGCTACTATTGTAATTGTTTTGGGGTGCCATGTGCCCATGTGAGACAACAAACTTAGTCAGTGAGTGCCATGTGTATTCTGACAGCTCCATGAACTGATCATTCCCCTATCTCTTTCCCTTTCATCGAGCCTCCCTGTTCCCTGAGACACAATAATATTGAAATTAGGCTAACGAATAACTCTGCAGTGGCCTCTAAGAGTTCATGTAAAAGGAAGAGTCATACATCTCTCACTTTAAATAAAAAACTAGAGGTTGGGCGTGGTGGCTCACGCCTGTAATCCTAGCACTTTGGGAGACCGAGGCGGGCGGATTGTTTGAGCTCAGGAGTTCGAGACCAGCCTGAGCAAGAGCAAGACCCCGTCTCTACTAAAAATAGAAAGAAATTAATCAGCCAACTAAAAATATATAGAAAAAATTAGCCGGGCATGGTGGCGCATGCCTGTAGTCCCAGCTACTCGGGAGGCTGAGGCAGAAGGATTGCTTGAGCCCAAGAGTTTGAGGTTGCTGTGAGCTAGGCTGACACCACGGCACTCACTGTAGCCCGGGCAAAAAGAGTGAGACTGTCTCAAAAAAAAAAAAAAAACTAGAAATTTCTAAGCTTAGTGAGGAAGGCATGTTGAAAGCCAAGATAGGCCAAAAGCTAGGCCTCTTGCATCAAACATTTAGCCAAGTTGTGAATGCAAAGGAAAAGTTCTTGAAGGAAATTAAAAGTGCTGCTCCAACGAACACCCAAGTGGTAAGAAAGTGAAACAGCCTTATTGCTGATATGAAGAAAGTTTTAGTGGTCTGGAAGGAAGATCAAACCAGCCACAACATTCCCTTAAGTCAAACCTAATCAGAGCAAGGCCCTAACTGTCTTCAATTCTGTGAAGTCTGAGAGAGGTGATTATGCTGCAGGAGAAAAGTTGGAAGCTAGCAGAGGTTGCTTCATGAGGTTTAAGGAAAGAATCCATGTCCATAATTTACAAGTGCAAGGTGAAGCACCAAGTGCTGATGGAGAAGCTGCAGCAAGTTATCTAGAAGATCTAGCTAAGATCATTGATGAAGGTTGTTTGGCTACACTAAACAATGGATTTTCAATGTAGATCAAACAGCCTTCTATTAGAAGAAAATGCCATTTAGGACTTTCACAGCTACGGAGAAGTCACTGCTTGGCTTTAAAGCTTCAAAGGACAGGCTGACTCTTGTTATGGCTAATGCAGCCGATAACTAAATTGAAGCCAATGGTTACTTACTTTGTGAAAATCCTAGGGCCCTTAAAAATTATACTGAATTGACTGCCTGTGCTCTACAAATGGAGGAACAAAGCCTAGATGACAGTGCATCTGTTTACAGCATGGTTTACTGAATATTTTAAGCCCACTGTTGAGATCTACTGCTCAGGAAAAAAGATTCCTTTCAAAATATTACCACTCATTAACAATGCACCTAGTCACACAAGAGCTCTGATGGAGATGTACAAGAAGATTGCTGTTTTCATGCCTGCTAGCATAGCATTCATTCTGCAGCTCATGGATCAAGGAGTAGTTTTGACTTTCAAGTTTTTCTATTTAAGAAATACATTTCATAAGGCTATAGCTGCCGTAGATAGTGATGCCTTTGGTGGATCTGGGCAAAGTAAATTGAAAACTTTCTGGAAAGGGTTCACCATTCTTGACACCATTAAGAATATTCATGATTCATGGGAGGAGGTCAAAATATCAACATTAACAGGAATTTGGAAGAAGTTGATTCCGACCCTCATAAATGACTTTGAGGGGTTCAAGACTTCATTGGAAGAAGAACCGCAGAGGTGGTGGAAATAGCAAGAGTACTAGAGTTAGAAGTGGAGCCTGAAGATGTGACTGAATTGTTACAATCTCATGGGAAAACTTGAATGGATGGGGAATTATTTCTTATGAGCAAAGAAAGTGGTTTCTTTTTTTTTTTTTTTTTTTTTGAGACAGTCTCACTCTGTCACCCTGGGTAGAGTGCAGTGGCATAAACATGGCTCACTGCAAACTCAAACTCCTGGGCTCAAGCAATACTCCTGCCTCAGCGTCCTTAGTAGCTGGGACTACAGGCACTTGCCACTGTGCCCAGCTAATTTTTCTATTTTTAGTAGAGACTGGGTCTTGTTGCTCTCTCTCGCTCAGGCTAGTCTTGAACTCCTGAGCTCAAGCAATCCTCCCGCCTCAGCCTCCTAGAGTGCTAGGATTACAGGTGTGAGCCACTGTGCCTGGCCTTAAGTAGTTTCTTGAGATGGAATCTACTCTTGGTGAAGATGTCATGAGCATTGTTGAAATTACAATAAAAGATTTAGAATATTACATTAACTTAGTTGGTAAAGCAGCAGTAGGGTTTGAGAGGATTGACTCCAGTTTTGAATGAAGTTCTCCTGTGAGTAAAATACTGTCAAACAGCATCACATACTATAAGAAATCTTTCATGAAAGGAAGAGTCAATGGATATGGCAAACTTCATTGTTGTCTTATTTGAAGAAATTGCCACAGCACCTGCCACCCTGATCAGTGAGCAGCCATCAATTTTGAGGCAAGACCCTGGACCAGCAAAAACATTACAACTCCCTGAAGGCTCAGATGATAGTTAGCATTTTTTAGCAAGAAAGCATTTTTATTTTTTTAAGTTTTTTTATTTTATTTTATTTTTTGAGACAGAGTCTCATTCTGTTGCCCTGGCTAGAGTGAGTGCTGTGGCATTAGCCTAGCTTACAGCAACCTCAAACTCCTGGGCTCAAGCGATCCTCCTGCCTCAGGCTCCCGAGTAGCTGGGACTACAGGCATGCGCCACCATGCCCGGCTAATTTTTTCTATATATTTTTAGTTTTCCAGATAATTT